GGAGGGGGGGGGGGGATTTTCACAGGACACTTTCCACAAGTGGGGTGCAGCTACAAAACAAGATCTCCTGTGCACCTGACAGTGATGCTGGGGTACAGGAAAGGTTGTAAATTTAGTGTTCCACTGCTCTAGCTTCCTACATCGTAAATGAATTTATTGCATTTTTAAACATTTCTATTGCTATGTTATAACCTTGCAAATAAAAAAAAAAACTTTTTAGAAATGCGAATAGAAATTGCTAGCTTTTGAGTAGTTAATGCCAGTGGACGTAGAAGGAGGGTTGGATAACCTGCATTGTATAATACTTTATAGGTGCCATGGATGTAGCGTTAGGTTCGGCAGCTACTGGGGTTTTTACCAATTCACAGCAGCTGTGGCATCACCTGTATGAGGTAAGATACGATAGAGACAATTGATTTCAAGATGGGTGCTGATTTAGAGGGCTTGTAAGAAAAGATTCAACATGATTTATTGAGAACCCAATCCATAACTATGGGCTGCAAAAACTAAACACCAGACCTCTGCTTTGGAGCTGATAAAGCTTTTGTGAACTAGGACTAGTGATAATTTACACACCTTTTTTTCAGCATTCCTAGAGGCTTCTGTTTGCCCTGATACCTAAAGTAAGCAAAGTAAACTACGTTGCTTTGCTGCATTGCTAATGTTGGTCTCCAGGTAGTTTAGTAATGCAGCAAAGCAATGTATTTGATCCTGTCTCTAATATTTATCAGACAGAAAATGGAAGAGAACCAAGTATGAATTTGTTAGTATTAACTAACTGAAAAATGGAAAACAGCATTCGTGACGCCCCTAATTATTTCAGCAATTTGCATCATAGATTTCTACAATACCGTCAGACGGGTCCTGCCGATACAGCTCCTGTGTAGTCCGAGATGCATATTTTCTGTAGGTGGCAGATGAAATAGGCAACCAATTCTTTTAGCCAAAGTGGCTGTTTAAAGTGGTCGTGCCCTTTGATCCAGCATGGATGTCGGAAGTGAACTGAAAGCGGGGGTGAGAAGTGGCTGAGTTTGTAGTGAGAGCAAATTATTTAGGCAGATAAAGCCAGGATGAAAGAATGCCAAAATAATATTTCCAAGGAGAAGAAATGAGCATTGGAATGGCAAATGTGGTTCAGTTTAAGCAAGTGTAAAACGATGCACAAAATTCTCAACTTCACAGATACACTGAGAGGCCTGAGCTTGCAGGAATCTTGGAGTTACTGTATGGATAGTTTGGTCCGATTGCTCCAATCTGCGGTCGCTGTGAAAAAGGCAGATGGGTTGTGAAAATCATTAGGAAGGAAATTGAAAGTATTGCTCCCACCCACCCATCCCAATTCCTGAGATCATTTCTGTTTTCAACCTACAAGGATTCTCTTGGCGCTGCCTCCTGTTCATGGTGGGAAGTTTATTGTTCTGAAGCAGTGTCCAGAAAAAGAGATGTGGGTGGGAGAATGAAGTATAGAAC